TTTTGACTGTAAATAAAACTGTCAATCATATAAATGGTCATGTTTCTTCAAAACACTTGGATTAAACCCCTCAATTCATATGGATTACTTTTACGATAACTTTATGAAATGTTAAAGCTTGAAAATGTTGAATGGGCAAAAGTGATGAGAGAACATTAATAGAAATTGTTCAGAAAATGAACAAAAGACATACAGGTTTAGAAAAACATGAGGGTGAGTAAATGATGACAGAATTTTCATTTCTGGGTGAACTGGTAAACTAACTCTTTGAAGTCGACATGAAACGGAAGTTTCTGTAGACCTTTTTTCCTTATTGTGACATACAGTATGTCTGAGTAAAATGGCTTCTAGAACACAAAAAAATGTGTGGGACTTGATTTTGACCATCAGAAATTGATTGGATTGCTTGATTGTTGTTGTTTGCTATTGCTGCAATCTTATGTGAGTGACAGGTTGTCCCGCCTCAAGCCACTCAACACGTCATCAGAGAAAAGATGACGTTGCAAGAGGGAGGGGAATTATTTTAATTAAATATTACAAGGGCACATGAATTTAAACAATCATGTGCACAGATAAATCATTTATAATAAATACTGCAATATTCGGTAAAAAATAAGAATGGTCCATTTTGATTTTTAGTGACAAACCTTTATTTTTAAATGTGTGGAAAGAAATAGCTCATACTTCAGGCACTGGTTGTAAATCTTGTGAAGTTATGGTTCTGAAGAGGCCTGAAATACAGCTTTGGGCTGTTGAATTGCATTATGTTGACTTTCTGAACTTCAGCAATTCACCATGATTTTCAATAAAATCTTGAATTCAGACACGACCCTGTCCATGGTGCTGATTCTATGCACAGGTACAAAAGCCGGTCACCTTCAGTTCAGTCACCATGTTACTGAAGTCCTGCATAGGTATTTCAAAACAAAGTAATAGAAGTTGTAGACTGCAGTCTAAACAGTGTGTTTAAACAGCTTCCTGATGAGCACGACTAACAGCTCTATCAACTCAGTATTGATCTGTAGAAAAAATCAGCATGTTCGTAACAGAGAACACTCAAACCTAAATATCATAAGACAAAAAAGAACAAAATATACAGAAGAAATCCACAGCATTCATTTCCAAACAGCATCCATCTTAAAAATAAAAATTATGATTGAATGAGCAGTAGCTGAAGTCCTTGACCGCTTCGACTACACATTCTATATTAACGCATTTGCGCATGTAAGTCACTTTGCAACCACAAACAGTCTACAGTTAAACTAATGAACTGCATTACATGCCAGAATCCATGATTTTTATTATTACAAGTAATAATTTAAATATTTATTGAACATTGGTGTCATATTGCCTGTGATAATTGCAAACTGTCTGTCTTAATAGGCTTGCTGAAAATGTATTCACTCTCAGGCCATCCAAGATGTAGATGAGTTTGTTTCTTCATCAGAAGAGATTTGGATAAATTTAGCATTACATCACTTGCTCACCAATGGATACTCTGCAGTGAATGGGTGCCGTCAGAATGAGAGTCCAAACAGCTGATAAAAACATCAGAATAATTCACAAGTAATCTACACGACTCCAGTCCATCAAATAACGTCTTATGAAGCAAAAAGCTGTGTGTTTCCAATAAACAAATCTATCATTAAGACATTTTTAACTTCAAACTGTTGCTTCCTGCTAAAATGTGAGTCCTCTATCCAAAATACTGTTTTCTCCAGTAAAAAAGTAATCTTATCTGAATCAGGAGAGAAATATGCACCAAATACAAGCGAAAACAATCCAAAAAGTTCTAAACCAATATGTGGGTGGAGATTTTGATGTGAGAGGACAACAGCAGATGGACTATTTCACTGGAGGAAGCATTATTATGGATTATGAACTCACCAGAAGTGATGGTCTAAAGTTAAAATGCTGTAATGTTTCTCTACAAACACGCATTTTTCACTTCATAAGACATTAACAGATGGATTGGGGTCATGCGGATTACTTATGGATTATTGTGATGTTTTTATCAGCTGTTTGGACTCTCATTCTGACGGCACCCATTCACTGCAGAGGATCCATTGGTGAGCAAGTGATGTAATGCTAAATTTCTTCAGATCTCTTGTGATGAGGAAACAAATTCATCTACATCTTGAATGGCCTGAGGGTGAGTAATTTTTCAGCAAATCTCACTTTTGGCTGTATTATTCCTTTGAAACGATCATCAGGCACTTCACATAAGTGCAATTTTTCCTACACAACCGCTTATAACCATTCAGGCGTGAGAAGGATCTTCATTTGTCAACCATCTAAAAAAAAAAATCAAAATGAATTGGAATCTGAGAGAGTCTGGGATGAAACAAAATCCTCATAAATTTACAGAAAACTGTAGTACACAGTCACAACCACAGGCAGGCCTTGAAGTATTGTGCAATCATCCTCTAACAGTGTCTGAGGATTGTGTTGTTGTGACCAGGGAGCAGTAAAGCCCAATTCACAGACAGTTCCAGGCCAACCACATCCGTGATGCATGTGGCTTTATAGGACTCATGAATAGAACCTGGCCTTGAGAGCTCAGCTTGGTAAATAACCATCAGAATGCAGCATGACTACAAATTCTGACAAAAGCAAGAAGTCTTGACCTAACAGACCACTTTTGAATGCTTTGATGTGGTTCCTTCATATATAGTCATCCATAAACAACCCTAAACATAGGGATGGGTATAGTAAGGAAAGTATAGGCCCTGGTTCTGATTTTAATTCAACATAACAATTATGGTTCTGTGATACTTTTTTTTTTTTTTTTAATAAACACAATTTACTACAACAAACTAATTGTCATATGTAACTGGACTGATAATTGGACTGATTCTATACTACCATTCAGAAGTAGTATCTTATGCTCACCAAGGCTGCATTTATTTGAAGAAATTTTTTTTATATAAATAGTAAAACAACAACATTGTGAAATTTTATTACAATTTAAAATACATATTGTTTCATTCAAAAGATGGAACCAGTTCTTATCCAATTCCCAACACCATACATTACTCTAATACATTAAACCAGCACTTGACATTCAAACCGCTGTAATGTGATGAAGCAAAACTGCCCTGTACCTTTATAATCCACATGACTTTGATACCGTCCTTGTGTATGGCCAAGATACTGAGGGTGGGAGACTGATTAGTCTCGTCACACGCCACACCATTCTTTGCCACTGAAACATTGATTCTCAATCCCATTACTTGGCCAGTCAGAGTAATAGATTGCGGCTGACTCCAGCCCGTTAGGGGCGTGTATATCACCCAGGCAGCCTACAGTCACCCTAAATATGTCCTCATTAAGTGAGAGGGAATCTTTACAGCTTTAGCCAATGCCCTTTCTGCACTATTATCATCTTAAACTAGGGTTGACTGTTGTGAATCAAATATGGAAACTCGTAGAGTATCCTCACTTCATTTTTATTCTTAAAAAAATAGAGGTTCTTTATTGGCATCATTGGTTCCATGAAGAACCTTTAACACTGCACAAAAGGTACTTTATAGTGGAAAAAGGTTCTTTAGATCATTAAAATATTCTTCACACTAACAAAAAATTGATCTTTTGAGAACTGTCCATTGAAAGGTTCTTTGGGAACCAAAAATGCTTCTTGAATGCGAAAAACCTCTTTTGGAGCCTTTATTTCAAGAGTACTGAGCTGGATCTGATTTACTGTCATTCGACACACTAGAGAGATGGGGGAAGTTATGATTAGTGGAAGTTCCCTTGGAAAGCAAGGAATGCAAAAGTGCAATTGAATCAAGCACAGGACCGTGCACTGGTCAAGGCATCTTTTCAGCCATAATTCCTTGGTCGTGATTGGGAGTGTCCGTGGCCCTCATATTGCTCAATCTAATTACAGCAGTGGGCGTTACATAATAGTTTGTTACGGCTTCCTAATCAGTGAGCCATTCAAACGCTGATCTGCATGCGAAGGGCATATCTAGAGCGCCTGGTAAAAACACAGACAGTGAAAACCAAGAGCGATCGAGAAGGAAGCTGACCCCCTCCGCACCCCAGATTCAAAGGCAGTTGAACAGTAGCTGATTCATTATTATGCTGCACGTCACCTCGGCCAGGGATGCTTTTGGCTCTGTTTACAGCACTAGCTATTTCTTTCCTCACCTATGTCACCCTAATTCATGCCGCTCAGCTTTCTAAGGTCTCAGCACACCCGCAGGTGCATCGCATGCCGTATACGTTGCTCTTAATGAACAGCGTGAGCCGCCTGCAGACATGCATCCTCTCTCACCGGGCTGCAGGGCATGCACGAAGAGTGAGCTTGATGCTACAAGAGAGGGTGTGCACGTGAATCTCAGTGTCAAAGGTCGGCCTCCAACTCATCCTCACAGTCACTGAGTGAGACACCACAGGCTGCTGACTTCTCGAGGAAGTAAACAGCAGTGCACAGATATGTCAAACACAGACATTATGCAACGGAACTGCCTTGGGAACACAGGACACACAAGAAGAGGAACACACAATAGTTCTGTCTGACTAATGCCAAGTCAGCTCTGTTTGACTGCAAATGTACAAAACACACTCTCGCTCTGTAGTGCATAATGAATGCATGTGCAAGAGCACACACATGTAGGATGTATTTTGATAAATGCATTATTCAAAAGTAAATAAATATTTTAGAATATTTTTCTGCATTTATTTGCATCAAAATGTTTAAATGTAGGCTATTTATGTTTAAAAATAGCTTGAAAAAAATACTGATTAAAGCCATACAAAAATATGTAGCAACTTAATTTAAACACATTAATAATAAATAAATAAATGAATAAATACATGTTTGCATTTATTTATTACTTATTTTAAAAATGCTTTATGCAAAACATGTATGTGGCTGTTTAAACATGACAAATAAAAAGTCTAAATTTTTTCATCTCATTGGTAGCATCTACATCAGTGCATATTTAATTAATAGTAAAAGGTTGCGGTTCAGAATATGTCATGTTTTTACTCACCTGGGTCGAAATGCGAGCTGAAGGCAAAACTGGGATTAAATAAAACCGAGGACATGACCGCGACAAATACCGACGCTTTCATCCTCCTCATAAGGCTTCAGATTTACTGCAGGACACCGTGATTGTACATTAAATAAAGAAAAAAAATCGCTTCATAGAAGAAAATTAGGCATGAGGGTGCTGTGATGCATCATTAAACAGAGCGCGCGCGCCGCGTCATGTCTGCCTCACTTCAGATGCGTCGGGTTATGAAACAGATGCTGGGAAACATTTCCGCTCGGCTCTGTTCTGCGTTTAGCGCGTTTCAATGTAAACACTGCGGTGTCTCCTCGTCCATCAGGCTGTTTACTGAAGGCTCCTCGGGGTAGACCACCTATCAGCGTCGCTTTTTTTCCATGTGCAGGCTATGCACCAAGATTTCGGTGTCTGGCAGTTATCCAGTACCATTCCTGCAAATGTTTTGCTCTGCCCGCAGCTGTGCCCTTTGGACACGCAGTGTTTGATATATACTGAGAGCTCCGGGCAGTTTATTTCGGCGTGTATGCTGGAGTGTGTAGAGGAGGATTATTAATACTGCAGCGGCAGTGACAGACAGGAGAGAGCGTCACACAGCAGCACTGTGACGGGTTTGGTCGAGGGTAAAAAACGCTCGGTGCTCAAAATCTGAGCTGTCGGAAGTAAAGACTCTTGCTTGTCTGACGGAATCCCTGCACTCCAATATAGGTCTTCCCTGTTGAAAATAACTGCTTGAACCATCTTAAACTGGTTAGCTGCTTTAAGATGGTCTCCCAGCCTGACCAACAGAAAGTGCCCGAAATCCATTTAAAACCAGCAACATATCAGACTGGGAGATCAGCAAAACATCAAGAAATATTTTTGAGGATGTACTACCACCATACACCAAAATCCTTGGCGAAACAGATTGATCAAACTCTCCTATGTGGATTTGAGTTTATGCTCATGAGAGATTCAAAGGTTTCTGTTTACAACGTGTGTGTTTTTTCAGTGTACTAGAGCAATGTAGCCAATCAGGGACATATCTGTTGATTTTGTCATGAGTCCAGTCTCTGTTACTCTTCCTGCTCACCACCAGAAGTTATCAGCACCACAATAGGTTTCCATTACCCTTCAAATTGCGCAAATTGAAATTGCGAATTGAAAATATGCCTAATGGAAACGCCGTCATTTCGCAATACTTTTTTATCGACATTCAGAAAATATCGCCAAAGTTTTGCGCAAATCTGTAATGGAAACGTGCCTATTAATGACTGTTTCACTGCACATTTCACCCCGAACTACATCTCCCATAATGCATTTCACTGATTGCAGACACAGCTGTAACCTATCAAATGGACTATTAAGGTCACACACAAACGCACCCACACTACGAAGTATTGCCTAAGCTGTAGCATTCTAGTCTTTACGTTTTCCTTGTTACCTTGCCTTGCCTGCTGTGGGTTTTGAACTTTGGACTGTTTATCTGGTTTTTGGATCGTTTTGCTGCCCTTGACCTTTTGCCTGCTTGTGGATTACTCTTTTGTCTTACATTTAGTCATTTAGCAGATGCTTTTATCCAAAGCAACTTACAAATGAGGACAATAAAAGCAGTCAAAACTAACAAAAGAGCAACAATATATAAGTGCAAATGACAAGTCTCGGTTAGCCTAATGCAGTACACGTAGCAAGGTGTATATATATATATATATATATATAGTATATTATTTAAGGGGGTCTGAATACTTTCCGTACCCACTGTATATTATATTCTTATATATAGTCTTGTCCTCGATGCTAATGTTTGCTGGTGATCAACCCTTGCCTGTCTGACCTCACTACTCTCAATAAAGCCTGCATTTGGATCCGACCCTGCCTTCACAAGCACTTTTGTTACAGATTTCTTGAACAAAATGGCCAATCCAAGGTGTTAGTCAGAATCCACTCATCGCTCAAAACGCCAGAGTTTTGTTCAGTGCTGAGTTAAGCTGGGCAAACACTGTGCTTTTCATCCGATTTTGAGCTGATTTCTGAGTCTTTCGGATGAATTTCAGCTTTGTCATGCATCATTTGTTGTGCAGTGTAAAGGGGAGTAACGAGAGGCGATTAACCTCTCCTAACCGGCAATCAGATGGTTGGGTGAAATTTGGTCACCTCTCGTTAGGGTATCAAACAGTTGAAGCAGAGTGTGTGGTATGGACTGAAGGGGTGGAGACTACACAGTTCCGGGTTTGGGGGGTCACAGCTGTGTTCCAGACAATGTCTGATGTCTAAGAAAAAAAAATCCACTTCCGACTTCAAAAAGTTCCAGTCAGGCTGGGTTCTGGATCTCTGAATTCTACCTTGAAAGAAAAACTACTGGAATGTCATGTTAGTCACCACCTAAATGGAAATAAGATCAAATGATTCTTCTATTGAAAGTTAGGGACGATCGATCTACACCGACTTTACAAGCAATATGTCCGACACTGAGCAATGTTCCAGTAGTTATTTTCAATTAGGAGGTGGGAGAATTCCAAGTTCCACATTTTCTGGAAAATAGCATGATATATCTTGAGAAAGATAACCATTTGCATACCCATTAATCTCAAAATTTGGATGCTGACATCTATTCAATCTATAGCTGTATAGCTTTATTCAAGTGACTGATCACATTGGAAAATAAGATCCTGACAATGCTAATAAACAGGGGCTGAAGCTAACCATCAAAAACATATTTTAATACCCTTATTCATATCTGTGAAAGGAAATAACAATACACTATGAGATTAATGATGTGAACTAATTGTTGGTCATTGAAAGTTTAAAGGATGTGTAGTGCATACACAAATGTCTAGGGTCAAACAGTGCCCCATCAGGCAACAGCAAGTAAAGCAAGATAAAAACTGAAGGCCCACCTACTCAATGAGTGCAAATTCATTTTTCACCTCATATGTCATTTCCGTGGCTACTGGATTAAGCAACTGCTCATTATGCAGCAAACAAATGTCTAACCGCCCAACTGGTTAGACTGCTTAGACTGGTGAAGTGGCACAACTGTTCACTGGACAAATAACCTCTGCCTGAGAACAACACACCTGCATCATACTGAAAGGTTTGATTTACAAAACTCTTCTCTTATCTAAGCAGTGGATACTCCCTGCCTTTTTAATCCAGTACATCTATTAAGGTTATACAATCATTTAGTCATTATAATGTTACAGGTTATGTTTTTATGTGGCATCTGAGAGGTGACTGAGGGCCTGACCCTACAGAATAAAAATGGACTTGCTTTAAAATGGAAATTTATAATTTATTATTCATCATTTGATCAAATTAATCAAGAGTTACCTTAGTAGAAAGAGTTTTAAATTTTGCTCTTTAAAGATGTCGCCTGTTTGATATCCACCTTGTTTGTTTATAAGGTAAGAGCAGTAGTTTTGGTGATCTGAATGTTCAAGTCTGGTGTCATTTGCTGCCGATTATCGTTTTATCTGTACAAAACATCCTGTTCTACCATTTTTGTCTTAATAGTTTGGAAGTCTGGCACATTCACCGGAAATAGCTTACTTCTGCATTAAAAATATACCCAGATAAGTAGTTTTAAGGTAGTGTCCACTGGGATTTATGACTTATCTGTGACTTTATAAATAAAAAAACATTGTCTCACCATTGTTTCTAAAGAACTGCATTTACTTCCATGCTGCATTCACTGAACTACTGGTTTGAAACAAATGATCTGAGCCTGTAATGATAAGGATGAAAAAATACATTGATTGTGCATACACTCTAAGTACTATTGTTATAACAAAACAATGGTGGATACTTAAAGTCACTGCTGTCTTGCTCACTTCTTTTTAAAATGTGAGAACCTTGTCAATCTTGCTCACAGCTAATGGAAACCACTGGTCTTCACTGTGCGTTTTAGTCTCTGCAGGGTCAAGCTGTGTTCCCCAACAGAACCATGTCAAGTACGTTTTCATGTTGTTTTTACTTTATTATGCATAAATTGTTGAAATGCTTTTACTTTGAGAACTAAGCACAATCATCAACATTATTCTATTCACCTAAATTAGAGCAGATCCAGCTTAACCAGATAGATCATTTATTAGTTTTTTAGCAATAATACTTAGAAATGATCTAGCTATTGAGTACATGATAGCTTATAATATCATGAACATGTCTTTTGGAAAACAACAGCATACACTCTTAAAAATAAAGGTGCTTCAAAAGGTTCTTCAAGCGATGCCATAGAAGAACCATTTTTGGTTCTACAAAGAACCATTCAGTCAAAGGTTCTTTAAAGAACCGTCTCTTTCTTTTGCGTTTTTGTAATCTGAAGAACCTTATTTCGCCACAAAGAACCTTTTGGGAAACAGAACGGTTCTTCAGATGTTAAAGGTTCTTTATGGAACCATTTAGACAAGAAGGTTCTTCTATGGCATCGTGAAGCACCTTTATTTTTAAGAGTGTAGTGCGGTTTACTTTCCATTCTCACTGATGCTTCCAAAATATCTTTCTCACAGTCTATGTGGCAACCCTACTGCACATGCATCTTGTAAACGACTGCCGATAAAGACGATTTATATAAATTGATATCCAAGTGTTTAAAAAGAGTATCAAAATATTTGAGCACACTTTTTTTGATGGGGCATGTCACCAATTTCTGACGAAAGGCTAAAAACACACCTGATTAGAGAATCAGAGCTTTTCGAATCTCCTACTCAATTGAACCAATGCTTTACTAAATGATTCAACCTTCAAAACCACGCTGGCGACATCTGTTGGTCTAAACAACGTAAATGCAACGACAACACAACCCAAACTTCTACAGTAACACGTTAGACACCAATTGTATGTTTTTATACAATTTCTACAAACCAATACCATTAAATATGAAATGTATGTATCATTTTTGTGCAATTATTTTGGTTCCTCATAATTCTGTAATGAGAACATGGAGAGCTACAAGAGAAATATTTGGGGGGGGGGTCTGATGAGAAGTTTTAAATAGTGCATAATCAATTTAATACTCAATACTTTGAATTGTGTCCATTGCTATAGCTAATCTTTTAAGAGTATTTATGAGACTATGACACAGTTTTGTCAAGATAATCTTAATTTGTTTTCTCGACAGGTCATAAAAAAACAATACTTCATCCCAGATATTTGCTTCTTATATTCTCCATTGGACTGAACATATTTTTAATATGTGAATCCTTACGCAACCATTGTAACAAATCACCAACAGTAAGAACTTTTACACCATCCATAGACAAGCTTCTGGCAAACAGCACTATCCTTCTTATATGGTTATGACCATTTGGAATCAAATTTGACCTAAATTCCTACAGTTCCAAATTTAATATAGACGGTTGTTACTTAACTGTAGATAGAAAGCTCTAGAGCAAGGCTCACAGAGTGCTGATAAATCACAGAGATATTAAAAGCGACCTGTCAAATTTACCCACAAAACCATAGCCTTTCTTCCAGAAATGGATATGGATTCACTTTGAGTCCCCATAAAACACGAGACGGCTCGACGGTCTGGAGAACCTGTTTAATGTGACACTGAATTACCGTCGGGATGCTTATATTATAATTAA